CCTTGTGTGGATTTCATAGTGTGAAGGGCACTGGAGGGCTGGCACAGGGTGCAGCCTCCCAGCAGTGAGGTTAGAAGGCCCATAACCTATGACATTCTATGCCAAATCCAAACAGCAACAACAACAACAATAACAATAAAAATTAAGAAGTATCTGTTGGTCCAAGTACAAGGCCCGGTTATTTTTTGGCTGGCCAACAAGATTCCGCTGCCCGGGGAAGTTTATTGAGAGACCTGACCTTGTCCAGATCCAATTTAGTCCTGCATGTCTGATGTTCCAAAACTGATCAGCAGGGAAAGGGGGCCCTTATTCGGCTCCAAGCAACTAGTCACAATGGGCCATGCCCAGTAAAGGGCACTAGACATTTCATGTACGTGAGACCGACCGTCTCAGGCCCATTCCTCATACATTCGGATGGCTCCCGCTTTGCACTGCATCAGTTCATGCGCGCTATGCGAAGGGCGATTGCTGCCTGTGGTTTACCTCCAGCTGAATTCGCGGCCAACTCCTTTCGGATTGGGGCCACTACCACAGCAATGCATTTGAGACTCTCAGCTGAAAGGATGAAGGACTTGGGGCAGTGGAAGTCTGATACTTTTAAGAGATATATTCGTAAGACCTTGTGATTGTTCACGGTATACCAGACCTGGCTTTGTTACTTTCTGTTGCTTTCAGGAGACGTTGTGGTGCGCATTTGGATTACAGGCCACAGCATTGTCCACTGGAGTAGAAACTGTGCCAGGAGAATATAAATTTAGAACCAGAATCAGCTCCGGCTGATAAAGTGCCTCAGACATGTGAGTTCATCAGCAGGGCGAGGAGACCAGGGCACCCCATTCTGCCCAATGTAATCCCTAACTCTTAATCGGATAACGAAAACAACGACAACGACAACATAACCAACCATGCATGTAGAAAGTCAGTAGGGACATGGAGGGATTTCCAGTGTTTTGCACCCTCGGCCGTATGTATGCTTATCTCCCCATGGGGCAGAAGTCATGGGCATGTCAGAGGTGTAATGAGTTCCTGGTCCCCTGGGATCAAGTTCATTCCTTTGAGGCCAAGGTGGCAGAATTAGAAAGTGTACGAGAAGCCAAGACAGCGGTGGAGAAGGCCTTCGGGGAGGAGGTAGCTAGGTCCCGCTCCCGCAACGACAACCCCACTGCTGTCTGTCAGGGAGAATGAAGTTCTCAAGGAAGGAGAACATCACTTTGAGGAAGAGGAAGGCATTCCCATAGAAGGGACCTATTCCTTGGGGGTGCTAATGTAGCTTCTCATGCCAGGGGTACCTATCCAGTGGGTGGGTGGGGAATTGTGGTAGTTAGGAATATATGTATGCGATGGGCATACAGACTGCAGGAGGAGTTGCCTGCCTGGTGTGAGGATTGCAGATGCTGCTTGTCGCCTAGATAGCCTGGGGCCTAGCTGGGAGTAATCCCCACTTCATTCAATTATACATGGATAGGATTGTGCTCTGAGTCCTTAAGCTGCCACAAAACTCTTTTTGCTCCAACGGACAGGGAAACAGCTGCTTGCTAGGTGAAAGAGGTTTGTTATACTGCTTTCTTATTACAAATCCAATCTGAAAAATGTGCGCACACAAACAATCTTGCTTTATTTTACCTCACTCCAACCTTATTATTATTTTTTGTTATATTTTTTATTAGTTTTAGCATACAAAAATTTTAAGACAAATTATTATACATATATCCTTATTTGGACTTCCTTCAGCATCTCTGATAGCCTTCCGTCTTAATTATTTCTCCTGCAATTCTTAACTTAATATTGCCTTTACATTTTCTAACAAATCATTTCTTCCTTTCCATTTTTACAATATTTCTTAAATTACTCCTCACAGAACTTCTTGTAGTCCTAGAAACGTAATTTGATCATCGCAAATACTTTTCAGATACTCCGTAAATTTAGTGCAGTCTTCAATAAACCTCTGGTCCCACGGTCTCGGATCCTTCCTGTTAGCTTATCTAGTTCTGCGTAGTCCATCAATTTCATCCTCCATTCTTCTAATGTTGGTAGTTCTTCTTGCTTCCATTTTTGGGCCAATAATATTCTTGCTGCTGTTACTGCATATAAAAACAACTTACAGTCTTTCCTTTTTATATCATTTCCAACAATACCTAGAAGAAATGCTTCTGGCTTTTTAATAAAAGTATATTTCAACATTTTTTTCAACTCATTATATATCGTCTCCCAGAAGCATTTCACCTTTTTACACTTCCACCACATATGATAAAATAATCCTTCTTTTTCTTTACATTTCCAACATTTATTACTAACTTTATGTATTTTTGCTAACTTAACTGGTGTGATGTACCATCTATACATCATCTTCATCATGTTTTCTTTCAACGCATTACATACAGTAAATCTCAAATCTTCTTTCCTAATTTGACCCACCACCACTTAATTGAATATTATATCCTAAATCTTTTGCCCAATGAATCATAACTGATTTTACCTCCTCATCCTTCAAGTGCCACTCAAGCAGTAGTTTATACATTTTGGACAGAATTTTAAAACCATTATTTAATATTTCCTGTTGAAACCTCGATTCTTTTTCACAGAAACCATTTTCTTTGATATCTTGCTTAAACACTTCATTCACCTGATAATAATGTAACCAATCATTAACATACTGTTTCACTTTTTCATATGGCTTCAATTTCCACTTTCCTCCTTCTTTAATTACTAATTCCCCATATGTTATCCACTTCCCACTCATATTGACCTTTTTTACACACATCGTTTCTAATGGAGACAACCAATGCGGTGTTTTTTGTTCCAATAGGTTTTTATACCTATCCCAGATTTCAATAAGGGATCTTTGAAATATGTGATTTCCAAATCCTTTATGGACCTTTTTCTTGTCATACCACAAATATGCGTGCCAACCAAATCTATTATCATGACCTTCTAAATCCAACAGTTCTGTATTTTCCAATTTCATCCACTCCTTCAACCAACAGAGGCACAATGCTTCATAATATAATTTCAAGTCTGGCAGGGCGAAGCCTCCTCTTTCTTTAGCATCTGTTAATAGCTTATATTGTATTCTCAGCTCCTTACCCTGCCAGATATACCTTGAAATTATCTTCTGCCACTCTTTAAATATTGCTGCCCCTTTGATTATTGGAATTGTCTGAAACAGAAATAACATCTTTGGTAGCACACTCATCTTTATTGCTGAGATCCTTCCCCAAAATGATAGTTTCAACCTTCCCCATACCTCAAGATCCCTTTTAACATTATTCCACATTGGTGTATAATTATTTTGAAACAGATCAATATTTTAGGAGTTAACCAAATTTTTAAACTACATCTATACCTATTTGTTGTTGCAATGTTTCAACCAGTTCTTGTTCCATATTTTTAACCATTATCTTAGTTTTCTTTTTATTCAATTTAAAACCCGCCACTTGACCGAACTGTTCTATCTCCTCTATTACTTCATTGATACTTATTGATGGTTCTTCAATTGTTAATACCAAGTCATCGGCAAAGGCTTTTACCTTATATTCATTCTGACCGACTGTAACACCGTTTATCCGCTCATTATTCCTTTTCGATCTTAGAAGTACTTCCAGTACCGATATGAACAATAATGGAGAAAGGGGACAGCCTTGTCTTGTGCCTTAGCAATTACTATATTTTCTGTTGTTATATTATTTACAATCAATTTTGCTTTTTGTTCAGTATATATAGCTCTTATACCATTTAAGAATTTAACATAAATTTAAGAATTTAACATAATTTTTATTATTTTTTTATTTTATTTTATTTTATTTATTTTATTTTTATTTTATTTTAAGAATTTAAGAATTTAAGAATTTAAGAATTTAAGAATTTAAGAATTTAAGAATTTAAGAATTTAACATAAATTTAAGAATTTAACATAAATTCCCAAGATATATTATCAAAGGCCTTTTCCGCATCCACAAAAATTAACATTGCTTGTTTTTCATTCCTGGCTGTCAGATAATCAATTATATTGACTATATTCCTTATGTTATCTTTCATCTGTCTGCCAGGAAGAAAACCCACCTGATCTTTATGTATAATTTCTATATATATATATATGGTGAAAGAGGTTTGGTATACTGCTTTCTTATCACAAAGAAACACAAACATGCGCACACAAACAATCTTGCTTTATTTTACCTCACTCCAACCTTATTAAAGGCTTTAACAAAGCTCAGTATGCTTCTAACATTCTGCCAAAAGAAAAGAAAGTGAGTTTTGTAAAAAAATCCTGCCAGAAAGGCATATAAGAGTTGAATGACTCGAAGGCAAGCCATTGCAATGATGAATTTTGAATGTGATTTGTCTTCACAGACGACTTCCAGAGGAACACAATGTCTCACCTCTGCCTGTGTTTGCTTCTTGCTGGTCTCTGTGCTTTTGCCCAATGTCACTATACCTTTGACCACAATGAGGATCATGACCACGGCCGTTCTGCTCCTGCTGAATGTGAAAGAGATCTGCCCTCTTTGAAGATAGCCCCAGGAAATGCTGACTTCGCCTTTTGATTCTACCACCACGTTGCTTCGGAGAGCACTGAGAAGAACATTTTCTTTTCTCCTTTGAGCATTTCCACTGCCTTGACCATGGTGTCACTGGGAGCTAGAACAACCACGTTTTGTCAGGACTTGGCTTTAACCCATCAGATATCACTGAACAGGAAATACATGAGGGTTTCCATCATCTCTTACGTATACTGAACCACCCCAATGCTGAACTCCACCTGAACATTGGGAACACCCTATACACAGATGACCAAGTGAAACCCCTGAAGAAGTTCCTGGATGATGCCTAACATTTTTATGAGACGGACGTTCTTCCGACTAACTTCAAGAATCCTGCAATAGCTGAAAGTCAAATCAATAGCTATATAGAAAAGAAAGAAAAAAACAAATGGGAAAATAGTTGATGCTGTCAAAGGTCTTAACCCAGAGGATCTAATGGTTATTGTGAACTATGTTTACATGAGAGGTAAGTGAGATGGACTTGTTTTATACAGGTTTTGCTTCTTCTTTTGTCAAATATATTGTGAGTACCTTTTCCTGGAAATGAGATTAAGTAATTGGGAACTACATTAAGAACAGAGCTATAAAGGCAGGTATCTCAGCACAGTAAGATGCCACTAAAACAGGAGCTTTTATTAAAAGCTCTGAGTATGACAATATATTGAAGAATTAAATGCCATGTATGCTGTTATTGTTCTTTCCATAAGCCAATTGGGAAATGTGGATGAGGAAACAACAGTGAAAGTCCTATGATGAACAAAGACAGCTGGTTTGAGACTTACCATGATAAGATCCTGTCCTGCAAGGTTGTGAAGCTCCCTTACAAGAGCAACGTTTCAGCATTCTTTATTCTTCCTGACCAAGGAAAAATGAAGCAGTTGGAAAATGCACCTAGCAAAGACGTTTTCTTAAAATGGATGAATTCAATAAAATCACAGTAAGTGGGCATGCTACACTGGAAAGAGTGTAGTACCTATTTGTAGGTGTAAATATATTGTTGTGAGTTTGAGGGGTAGTGATAGGCTGTGTAAAGACCAAGTCCGATGTAATTCCAGAACAGGATCAATTGAGCCTAGACATCGCTGAGACAGGAGTGCAAACATGCTAGGAATGTGGGCTTGGGAGAGCACATCTTTGATTAGAATTCTGTCCTCCATATGACACCCAAAATCCTCCTGGCACTTTTTTTTTTCTAAGCAATACCTCACTAGCCTCTGGTTCCTCTTTCAACAGGAGAATAGATCTATTCCTTCCAAGGTTTACAATCTCTGGCAACTATGTTTTGAAAGGGATCTTAAGAAGAATGCATATTACGGAGGTATTCACAGATCAAGCAGACCTCTCTGGAATTACGGAGGAGCCTGAGGTGAAGATTTCCAAGGTAGGCTTCTCAAAATTCAACAGGTTAATCTATATTTCTTGTATCCTCCATTTTCCACCAGAGGTATACCCTCTTGTCTGAATTATGTTCAAATGAACATAATTTGGGGTACTTGAACCACAATCCCATCTCTCATGGAGAGGAGGAGCCTAAAGTCCGTAAATTTTGATCTCCATTCTTCAACCGTCGGTAATTCTTCCTGTTTCCATTTTTGGGCCAGGAGTATTCTCGCCGCTGTTACTGTGTATTGGAAAAGTTTACAGTCTTTTTTACAGATTTCATTTCCTACAATTCCTAAAAGAAAAGCCTCCGGTTTCTTAACAAATGTATATTTTAACATCTTTTTCAATTCATTATAAATCATTTCCCAGAAGCCTTTCACTTTCTTACATTCCCACCACATATGATAAAATGTCCCTTCTTTTTCTTTACACTTCCAACACTTATTACATGTTTTATACATTTTTGCTAGTTTTACTGGAGTGCTATACCATCTATATGCCATTTTCATAACACTTTCCTTTAACGCAGTACATGCCGTAAATCTTAGTCTTTGATTCCATAGTTTTATCCAATCATCCAATTCTATCCAAAATCCCTGGCCCAATGTACCATCACCGATTTAACTTCTTCATCTTTTGTATATCATTCCAGCAACAATTTATACATTTTTGATAAAATTTTATAGTTGTTACTTAGTATTTCTGTTTGAAATTTTGAATCCTTTTCCACATAACCGCACTCTTTACAATCCTTTTTAAACATTTCATTAACCTGATAATAATGCAACCAATCATATACATACTCTTGAGAAGAACATTTTCTTTCACCCTCTGACCATTTCCACTGCCTTGGCCCTAGTGTCACTGGGAGCTAGAACAACTATGTTGAGCCAGCTTTTGTCAGGACTTGGCTTTAATGATATTAAGTAATTGGAAACTAGATTAAGAACAGAGCTATAAAGGCAGGTATCTCAGCACAGTAAGATGCCACAAAAACAGGAGCTTTTATTAAAAGCTCTGAGTATGACAATTAATATTTTGAAGAACTAAATGACATGTATACTGTTATTGTTCTTTCCATAAGCCAGTTGGGAAAAACCTTTCAATTCTCTGAATACAAGAAAAGGAGACTTCTATGTGGATGAGGAAACAACGGTGAAAGTCCCTATGATGAACAAAGTCAGCTGGTTTGAGACTTACCATGATAAGATCCTGTCCTGCAAGGTTGTGAAGCTCCCTTACAAGAGCAATGTTTCAGCATTATTTATTCTTCCTCACCAAGGAAAAATGAAGCAGTTGGAAAATGCTCTTAGCAAAGACGTTTTGTTAAAATGGAGGAATTCAACAAAATCACAGTAAGTGGGCATGCTATAGTAGAAAGAGTGTAGTACATATTTGTAGGTGTAAATATATTGTTGTGAGTTTGAGGGGTAGTGATAGGCTGTGTAATGACCAAGTCCCTTGTAATTCCAGAACAGGATCAATTGAGCCTAGACATCGCTGAGACAGGAGTGCAAACATGTTAGGAATGTGGGCTTCGGAGAGCACATCTTTGATTAGAATTCTGTCCTGCCATATGACACCCAAAATTCTCCTGGCACATTTTTTTTCAATGCAACACCTCACTAGCCTCTGGTTCCTCTTTCAACAGGAGAATAGATCAAGCAGACCTCTCTGAAATTCCTGGGAAGCGTGAGGTGAAGATTTCCAAGGTAGGCTTCTCAAAATTCTACAGGTTGATCTATATTTTCTTGTATCCTCCATTTTCCACCAGAGGTACCCTCTTGTCTGAATTATGTTCAAATGAACATAATTTGGGGTACTTGAACCACAATCCCATCTCTCATGGAGAGGAGGAGCCTAAATACTTGCTATTCCAGCTCGGATGATTAAGAGACACCAAAAACCCATCTCTCCCTCTGCTATAGCCTAATGGCATGAGTGGTGCTTGGTGACAGTTGAGGGGGGAGCCCCAATGGAGCTGGTCTCCCAACAGAACTGATGGAGAGACTCTTAAGCCCCAGCTCTCCCTCTTCCCTTGGTCATGCTATCTGGGGCTGATGGGATCCAAAAACATCAGGAGGGCCACAGTTTCCCCACCTCTGACACAGAATTTTCAAGAGCAGATGATTCGGTACCAGTTGCTTTGCAAAGACTGCAGTTAGCATTGGAGAAGGAGGAGAAATCTGATATATTTGCAAGCTTTGTGCAGACAGTATGGTTTATCACATACCTGCTTTAGTCTGACCTGCTCAGGCACTGTAATTTTTTTAACGATATATACGATATCTTTATTGTCATTGTGCCACACAGAACAATGAAATTGAAAATCTACATAAAATATTCAAAAATCCCTAAAAACTCTGAAACCCCATTTTAAAATACAATATACTATAGTGCTGACGAACCATATGCTGTGTGTATTACTGCAGCCTAATTTTAAAGTATATTACTAAATATGTCTTTTATCCAGTTATATAAACTTTTGTATTTATCTGTTTATGTGCTGGCTACTTTTGGAAACCTAGTGTTTATAATATTATAGGAGTAATAGGGTAATATTATATGTGGTATATATGAAAGAAGTGTTCGTATTTTTAGCATAATGAGCCTGGTATGGGGATCTTGCTTCTCATCAACAGTAAGGGAGAGAGACAAGAACTAGGAAAAAATAATTATGGAGAAGATTGACATCAAGATTTTAAGAAAATTCCTTCAGTTCCTTGAGGCTGACTGATACACAAATATGATGCTTAGAACTGGTTAGAGGAACCAGATCAATAGGTAATCAGAGTGAGAAACGACCACATGATGTTGTTTCTTAAGACATTCGGTGGATAAGACACTTAGTGGATTTATTTGTTTTGAAGGCCTAGATTTTCTCATGATAAAATCCTGAGTCAGACACAACCTTGCACTAATTTCTGTTGTGTTTCTTTGCAGGCTATTCACAAAGCTTATTTAAATGTCTATGAGAATGGCACGGAAGCTGCAGCTACTACTGCCACTGAAATTGTTCCTATCTCCCTTCCTCGTGTAATAATTACGTTCAATCGCCCCTTTCGGTTTGTGATGACTAGCGAGTTTAACCCCATCTTCATGGCAAAAGTCACGAATCCTACTGAGGCATGATTGCTCAACTTGTTTTGCAGCACAGAAAACATGGGGTTTCCAATATGAAGCATGATTGATAAGATGCTTTTAGGTATCAGAGTGATTACTGTCCCATGTTCCCAAACTGAATAAATAAAACACTGATTGAGTTGTCACTCCATGATAATTCGGGGCGTGTAGACACCTGTGCCATTTGAAACATCAGGTGAACAGTATTTTATTATTATCTCATGCAGGTGTAGTATCCACAAGTAGCCAACAGTTGCAAGGAGAAGGTCAGGTAGGTCAAAAGCTCAGAATGAGCTGAGGCTTTCAGGAGAGGTTACAAATAATAAAAAGGGTTTATTTGACTATGCCCAAAGCAAGAGGAAGAACAAGCAAGTAGTAGGTCCTCAGTGTGGAGAACACGGAGAAATTATATTCGGTGTTAGTGTGAAAGCAGAACTGCTCAACAAATACTTGGCCTCTGTCTTCACTGAAAAGAAAAGCAGTGCCTAACCTGGTTATAACAGAAAAAAATAATAATCCATAGAGGGAGCTGCAGTCTAAGACAGGGAAAAAAGATGGTAATGGAACTTCAAATGAATTCAAATCTGCAGGGCCTGATGAGCTGTATCCAAGAGCCTCTGTCTATAATGTTGGAGAATTCTTGGAGAACAGGTGGGGTCTTTGCACTCTGGAGGAGGGCAAATGTTTTCCCCATCTTCCAAAGGGGAGGGGGAGAAGACATTGGCAGTGACCTTGATTTCAAGGTCCTAGAATAGATAATTAAACAATCTGCCTGTGAGCACTTAGAAAAGGATGCTGTGATTACCAAGACGCAGCATGGTTTTCTCAAACAAATATCTGTATATTGTGTCTCTTGTCATATGTCTTAGGCACAGTGCTTTGGCTTCCTTGGATTGCTGTTAAATGCCCCTGCAGTTTCATTGCCTAGTTGCCATCCTTCCCATTTAAAGTGTCACAAACATTTTCACTCTTATCCCTATTGGATGTCAGATACGCAGGCAGCATGGGAGTTTCCCCTCTCTCTGGGAGCTTCTGATAAGGATTAAAGAGCCTCAGGAAGGTTTATAGTCCATTTGATTTACAACAACTACCGAGAGCAGCCCTGGGCCATCCTCTATCAGGATGTCAGTTGCTCACTCTGAATCCCCTCCCCTTCCACAGCATGAAGAGCACCAAAGGTCTGCTCTCCCACCCCTGTGCTTCCATTGTTCATTAACCTTTTCAGTCCTCTGAGTTCAAGGGGAGGGAGGGAATTCCCCACCACTTTCGATTGAAGAATCTCCCAAACACTCTCTCCCTCCTGGTTGCCTAGCTACCATCTCAAAGCTGTCTAACTCTTCCCCCGACTGTGCAGCCTCTAAATATGCTTCTGGGATGAATCCTCCCCTTCTTTCCCTGTTACAGGCTGAACTGTCTGCGACTGCATTACCCCATCTTCAGAGTCAGACCAGTCTCTGGCATCTGATTCAGACCAGCCCCTGATATTGGATGCTTTTTTGTGAACCAGACACTCTTCACATTAGAAGAAAATGTTCTTATAAGCAAGCCTGGAAGCAAGCTGGTGGTGTAATCTACAGGCAAACCCAGTATTTCCTGGGACTATCTTCAAATAGGGCAGATCACTGCCATGGTCTTTCCGGTGTTCAAAAGTGATAATGGGATTTAGTTTAGCTCCCTGGGAATGAGGAGATTTATCAGTGCAGTGGACAATCTTGCTTCTCTCTGTCACCAGAGAACTAAACCTGTCTCTCTCACACACAGAGGGAGACACTTCTCCCCAAAACCAAGACCTTCCCTTAAGCCCTGGAAGTTTTTTTTACTACAGGCATGAGTTCCCTCCTTTTCCTTCCTCCCCCTTCCTCCTTGGCCTGCCTTCAGGACCTTTGGAAACAGCAGGGTTGGCCCTGTTGATTTGTGCCAGAGTGCCCCTCTTAAATGGGACATTCCAGGATCCAAACAGAATCCAGGATTGGCTTCTGTGATCCATGATGTCCCACTTAAAATGGGACAATTGGGGGTATGAGATTGCCCACTGACACCCCCAATTTTATCCTCACTAGAGGGGACAGTACGCTGTAGACTTGGGACTATTGGTATGCGACAGAGGGTGCGGAAGGTCAAGATGGCGGCGTTAGTGGTAGCATCGACTTCAGCTCTGCATCAGTTGATGTGGTTTTTATTATTTTTATCAGTCTTTTATTAGCTTTTATCAGCCGCAGTATTTTATCTCTGTCATTTGGCAGCTATTATATTCACAAAGCTTGAGTTAAGAGCTTGAGTTAAAAGTCTTAGAGAAAGTCTTGGAAAGTTTCGGAGAAAGCCATAATTAGCTCCAGCTCAACTAAACCTACCAACTACTTATCAGCAGGAGCGGAGATGAAACACTCTATCATGGGACAATGCCGAGCTTCCTGATTTACAGCAGAAATTAGTAGCGGCTCTATCTCTGGGAAAATGTCTAGGAAAAAGACGCAACCAGCCTCATCTCCACAAGTCAGCCCACAGCAGAAGAGCAAGCAGAGTAAAATGGACGATTCTGTAAGAGCCCAGAACTCAGAACCTACTACATCAAATAGAACTCATTCCCAGGTAGGTGGGGATGCTTTAATGGGTGGAGATCACCCAGAGGAGAAAGCTGAGATGAGCGCTCATGAACTAGCCCATGAACTACTATCTTTTTTAAAAAAATAATATTTATTACTTTTCCAACAATTTAAACACTAAAAAAAAAATACAATACAATACATTAAACTAACAAAACAAAACAAAAACAATAAAATAAATCAAACAATTTCATTATCCCATCTTTCATTCACTTAATTCCACGACCTCCTCACACCTCCCTTTTGTATTCCACTTCTGTTAATTGTTTCAGCAATTCCTTTCCATCTTCCTCTGTTTTCTCGATATATATCCATTTAATTGTATGCTGCCTTACTGGAAATCAATTGACAGTGTGAAGAGAAACTTTAAGCTTTTACTAAATATTCATTGCAACACTCTGATCACGAGAAACTTGCTTTGCACGGACCCCACCACACTAGACTCATGCTGACATTTTCTGACTCAGGTACCCCTAAATAATTCAAAGATAGGATACTCCATTACGCCTTGGCAGATCCAGAATTTCACCACTCTTTACCCCGGCTGGAATCTGATCAGCCAATGCCAAGTGACGGTCCTCCCAAGGGAAATGTGACACACAGAAAGCCAGAGACAGATTTAATTGTCTTTGACGAAGACCCCCCGATGGTCCCAGCAATTCACATAACACCATCGATGCCGGGAAATCTGGAAAATGCTGCAACTCAACCCTGAGAACAACAACACCTTGCATATCCTAAAAACGGTTGCATCACTACCAAACCAGTGGGAGAGCTGATAAGAATTCCCCCCCCCCACACACACACACAATGAAGCCAAGCCAGTTATGGAACATGCAGCCTTAACATTATCTCGTGGAACATAGCGGGTTGGGCCAACAAACTAGGGGACGAGCCATTTTGTGAATATATAATGTGTTTTGACATAATAATGCTACAGGAAACTTGGGCAACTGACAACATAGTTCTCGACGGTTACCACGCCTATGAAATCAAGGCCTCTAAACTGCTCGGAAGGGGACGACCGAGGGGGGGCCTAGTAACTCTGGTTTCCACTCAATTGGCGTCACATGTTACTGAGTGCTCAGTTGGCACTGGGGATCACTTTGCATCTGGAATCCAAGAGTATCATTCTTGTTTCAGCTTATATCCCACCATATACAGTGCAAACACAGATCGAGACAACATGGCGTAAATTCCATAGTTTCCTTTATTCCCTACAAATTAAGTACCCCGGATCGCCTTTTTACCTAATGGGAGATATGAATGCCAGAATAGGCTCAAATGATGATAGCCTGGAAATAAAATTCCCAATATTAAGAGATCTAAAGGAAAATAGCGCCCTCTTTCTAAACCCACCCCCTCGTAGACATCTGAAAGATTGTCAGATCAACTATGCTGGCTTCTGCCTGGCTTTTTACAAATAAGTCTTGACCTTATCATTGCTAATGGGCGCTCCCCGGGGACAGAGAAGGCGAGTACACATTCATAAATACAAATGGCGCCAGCATAGTAGACTACTGTCTCACTAACAGGGAGGCCTTCAAATCAATTAAAAAATTCAACATAGATAATAGGACCGAAAGCGACCACCTACCTCTAATTGTCTCCACTACTGGCCAAAATTCAGTTCAGCGCTCTTACATAGAACATGAGGAAATAGATAAAGCAAATGATCCAGCACTGTGTGGAGAAAAAAATGGACACCTGAGACAGCAATTGCAGTTGAGAATAGATTGAATTCACAAACTGCAATTAAGTTAAGATCAATTATAATAAACAATTTATCAATAGATTCCTCCCTGACGGCTTACAAAAATCTCATTGAGTCCTTGCAGGATGTGGTCTCTGTCAACATAAACTCAGCCGGCAAGCCACGCACTGCTAAAGGACGCTGTTGGTTTGACCAAGAGTGCCGCACAAAGAAGGAAGCATTAAGGAACGCTTATTTGGCCTATAGAAACGCTGGACTAAATTACTTACCTACATCTTATTTCAAAATCAAAAAGAGTATAAAGCCCTTTTGGCCTCAAAAAAAAAGGCAGTCCGAACAAAATTCCAGGTCCCTGCTATTGAATGCCTCACTAAACAATGAAACTAAACTCTTTTGGCAACTGGTCTCGGACGCAATGAAAAATAGTTCTTCAGCCCCCAGCTGTGCCATTCCAGCTCAGGTTTGGGAAAACCACTTCAGAAATATATTTATGGAAAATCCAAACCTCCCTTCCAGCTTCCAGCATGATGACAGGGCAGAACTGCCACTGCTCCCTCATTGGAGGGCGGATACTGTGGAGGACGTCCATACATTAATTGGGAATCTGAAGAGCGGAAAGGCTCCGGGGAGAGACTTTATCCCAGTGGAATTGATTACATCAAACCAGCACTGGTGGGCTCCGCTTCTGGCAG